CTATTCCATACTAGTCTTTTCTACTCGACTCTACTTTACTCTACTCTACTCTACTCTACTCTTGTATTCTATTCTATTCTATTCTATTCTATTCTATTCTATTCTATACTACTTTATTCTATTCTATTCTATTCTATTCTATTCTATTCTATTCTATTCTATTCTATTCTATTTAGATGAAAAAGGCCAATAAAGCTACATAAGTAGCCACTGGTGGTTTCTTCCACACACGGTTTTAGATAAATGTTTAATAAGACAGATCATTGCTTTACTTTGTTCCCCAGAAAAAATGGGAATCACCACAGCAACTAGTGACTCAGCATTTTTGCTAGTTCTTACTCATCATGAAACAGACCTCAATAGGGGTAACAGAGGGTTGTCCTGCTCTACAATGAAACAATCTAGTTCCACATCAATACAAACCTTTTAGAGCAAATATCTACTGACTGCTGACTGCTGTTCTACGGACCTTACCGTATGTATAACCCACCTAATATTTGCTAAGAGTTTGATAAAGATCTTTCACACAATTATACATATTGTGATTCACAAAGAAAAAGAAAAGATTAACCATACAACACCTACGACGACACATCTGTCGTTCCAGCAACACAGGATGATCTGCTGTGAGATGAAGTGTTTGGAAAAATCAAACATGTGAAGGAACAGTGTATGTTTTTAACGGGGAAAAAATCCACTTTTCCATGCACAGCTCTCTCTCACACCTGCACCATCAGTTAATCCTTCTCATTTTACGCCCTGACACGATGCAGATAGAGAGATCATTTGTGAGACACTTTTTTAATGTGATGATTGAGACGTACCTGCTGATGTGCAGCCTCAGGAGTTCTTAAAAGGCCACCTCTGATAAAAAACCCTCAATGTCATCCCAGATCACAGAAGACACCAGTTTATGTTGCTTCTGTGTGGATAAACAATAAGAGATAGAAAACAAAAGATTACAGGCTAATCTGGTCAAAGCGGAGCTCTGGACAAAGCATTTATGAGCCGATTTAGTTTGATTACTCTAAAACGGCAGAGTGTACAGGCTCAGCCTGCAAACAGATCTCAGCTGACTGTTTCAGGACTGGAGGAGCTGCTTCATCGTGGGACCAGAGGAAGAACCTCCTCACAGGAAAGCTCAGGCAGCATAAAGGTGCTCTGGTAATGACACCCAGCTGATAGTGAGGCTGATGTGAAACTCAGCTCTGTGACACCGCAGCTGTGCCACTTATCTGTGGGATTTTGGGGGAACAATGACAACAAAGGACAGCATAACCTGAACTTTAAGATGATTTCAAAGAGCCTGAAACACCTGCAGCATTTGTTTTACCATCCTTAAGGCTGCAAGAGGAGCACATCAAAGGCAAAGCAGGTGGGTGCCTTTCTGTAATTTAGCAAATAGGTAGCCAGGACTTCTTTGGTTCCTTCAGAGCAAAGGTTCAGTCCATATTCAATTCAATTCAGTTTATTTCTATAGCGCCAATTCACAACACATGTCATCTCAAGGCACTTTACAGTTCACCAGATCATACAGTCAAACTGATTGAACGTTTTCTATCCAAGGAAAACCGTTTTTTCCAAATTTAATGTTTATACCTTTTACCCACATTTAGATCTTTACTACCGTATGTTGTTCTCCTCTTAAATTGAGAAGCTTTAGAATCAGTGGATAATACGAAACATAATGATGTGCTTGTTACTCTGGATATGTTGCCATTTTTCCATGATACTGCAAAGGTGTTGATAAAGGAAACGACTAAAACAACAAGTCTTCTCCGATCTGTGGTGGCAAAAACGGTTGAATCAAAAGACAAAACACTTGATTCACAAGTTTGTATCCTAACACTCAACTGTGATTAGAAAGAGTTGATCAATAGCAAAGGTGTAAGATGCTGGATGTGGGTGGTTATCTTACGCTTCTTTAAAATACATAAATAACAAGGTTCTTGTCATGGTCAGGCACTTATATTTTAGCTTCATTAGGCCACAGAACATGTCTCTTTATATATACCTGTTCGTCCAATTCAATTCAGTTTATTTCTATAGCGCTAATTCACAACACATGTCATCTCAGGGCACTTTCCAGTTCACCAGATCATACAGTCAAATTGATACAAAGTTTTCTATCCGAGGAAAACCAGTTGCATGCTTGTAGCGACAGTGGAGAGGAAAAACTCCCTTTTAACAGGAAGAAACCTCCAGCAAAACCAGGCTCAGTGTGAGCGGCCATCAGCTGAGGCCGACTGGGGTTCAAGGAGACAGAAGCAGAGATACAAAAAACAAGTTTTCGGCTAAAAAAAGACGGTTAAAAAACAAGAGTGTCTTCAGTCAGACTCCTTCATATACTGATGCCTCACAGACCTCTACAAAGTTTCCTCACTGCCTGCAGCTATCAGGGTTTAAATTCTCTCTGAAATCATGAAGTTTTTTTGAATTGTATTTAACAGACCAGATGAATGTGGAACTACAGGACATTTGGAAAGTCCTAATAGTACCTAATGATGAACAGGTTTGTTGGATATTTATCGTAATTTATTTCCCATAGAGGAGGAAAAGTATGTTTGATTGATTGATTGACTTTTCTGATCTCACAGTGGAGAAATGTACCTGTAACATCAGCTCAAATGATCAAAGGAGAAGAAAAAGGAGCCAAAGGAAGAAAAAGGTTCATGGCAGATATGTACAAAAGTAGCCATTCAAAATTTCCCCACTATCCTTGATGGGCCCTTGGCTGGTCCCCTACAATTCCCTTTTAAACATCAATCTTTGTACTAAAATATTCTTTTTGTCATGATTTGTGGACATTAACATCTTAAGGCAAGCACCATCTGATGGTCCTCCCCTATAATTCCGTGAAAAGGTGGAGTCAGAGTAAAGAAATATGCAAGAGGGGGTCAGTCCAGAGGCTGGAACTTGGAGGAGATATTGCTGGGAGTTGGAGGCAAGTGGGCTGCCATTTGGCTGGCGAAGAACTGGGAAGGGCCATTTTGAATGACTGCTACTGTAGTACATACAGAGCCTCTGTCAGGGCTCCAGTCTGTGTGTTTGTTTTTTTGTGTTTGTCTCCCTTCCTCCACCAGGAGGCGCCTGGTTCTGGTCCGCCTCCTCACACACCTGCTGATGTTAACGGAGTGCTCTTAAGCTGCTGATTGCCACTACCTTGACGCCAGAGTGTTTGCCAGTTTTTGGCAGTCGTCCTGCAAACAGGATCTTTCGGACCTTCACTCCCTGGAGGGATCAACTGAGCCTCAAACTGAGCTGGGGATTCAAACTAGAGGTTTGGATCCATTTTCCCAGAGAGGACTTTGAGTTTACACACTGAGCAAGGGAATCATCTCCACTACAACCCGTTCAAGTACCGCAGGAAATCTGAGTGGCAGTCAGCTTCTCCGTTCACCTACAACCGACCGTGTTTTGGGTAAACCCTGTTCCGCTCCCTCCACCGAATCAGACTAACACTGGAATACAGCACACAGATTGGAGTCAAAGATTCTACAACTTCTCTGGAAACGTGAGTCAACAACCAGATCCTCTTCTCCAAATCCTCAAATGAAATTTCCCACTGAGCCTGAACTAATTGCTGTGTCTTCCCCTCACCTTCCAGCTCTGGCTGAGCAGAGTTCAGAGCAACACTGCTCTTTGCTTTATCTCTTCAATAAAACCCGTTAAACCTTTTCACCTGGTCTCTCTGTAATGGTTTCTCTGCATTTGGGTCTCATCTTTAGTTAATCCTGACAGCCTCCACATATGACAGCTTTTTTAATAGTAGGATTATTATACCAGGTTATTGCACAGGGTGTTTACATGGGTATTTGTATTGATGGATATTTTCATATATATATAGTTATTGCACTTTGTGTCAAATATAGAGAAACCGGTTATTGCACAGGGTATTAAATAGTAATTGCACATTATATTTTGCACAAGGTATTGCCATTGTAGTGTCACATTGCAGAGTATGGGGGCAGCATGGATGAATGGCCTCGTTTTTACAATCAGGGTGTAAAAGTCTTTCACTAAAGGAGCTGCTCAGCTCCTTTACAGTCTGGTTTAGAGTGTGGAAAGTCCATGTTTGTCCATAATGGATGTAAGCTTGGACAGCACCCTCCTCTGAGCCACTTCTTTAACTGAGTCCAGAGTGCAAAAAAGTACTCCAGAGTGTTGTTCAGCATGGGGGTGAGTAGAAAATGAAGGCTAATCATGTTTTGGGTGTACTATTCCTTTAAACAGAAGCTGCCTTTCTCAACAGTTGTTCCAGTCTCTTTCTGTCCCGCTCTGTGCTGCCAGGGGCCCAGCAGACAACAGCATAGAGGAGGGCTGAAGGTTTTAAGCAGGGGCCTGCTCACTCCAAAGGACCCCAGCCTCCTCAGGGGGTGGAGACGTCTCTGGCCCTTCTTATACAGGGTGTCTGTGTTATGAGTCCAGTCCAGTTTGAGTTATCACCTTAAAATACCTTTATAGATGAGGCTTCATTTAATCTAAGTGTTGCATAAAGCTACAGAACTTACATTTTTGCAGCATTTTAATCATACAATATGTCATTTCTGAATTTGAAAATAAAAGTAATTGCTCTATTTAGCAAATTAATTTTTTTTATTTTTATTACCGGATCTAAAATAGTAAAAGTTGTTATTGTTGTTAGATAATGGGAAAACAGCTTCTTTTTTGATTAAATTATTGAAATGATTGCACTTTTTGATTGTATTATGATTCCAGTTTACCACCTTTTTTTTAAATGTATTATTTCAATCCTTCCAGAAAGTGATCATTTGCTGAACAATCCCAAACCCCCCTCCTCTGACTCTGCAGATGTTAATCAGGATGTAAAGAAAAGCCCCTCTGTTAAAAGTTAAACATTGCCCTGTGTTTACGCAGCCTCTCTCCATCTTCCTTTAGTATTTGTCGCTCCTCTATCTGTGCGTGTGTGGGTGTGCGTCTTCATCCGCGCTTTTTTTTTTTTCCTCTCCCTTTTCCCTCACCCTGCCTGTTCTGCTGGGGGGACTTGTGAATGGCAGCCAATGGGAGGGTAGAGTCCCCTCAGCCTCTCAGCCTCTCTGACATCCACACAGCGAGAAGTGATGCAGCGCCGCTGAGACGCGCAGTCGGGGCGGAACAACGGGCAACAAAAGCCGCAGCGAGCGGATACTCCGCGCTCAGCCGTGCGTTTTTCCTCCGACTTCCTTTCATTTTTCACCCCGTCGTGTGAAGATAAAAAAAAGAAAAATCTCTCTACGCTGGAATAAACTTTCCCAAAAATCAGGTAAGCGGATATTTGCTTTTAACTTCCATAGATGGTGTTGGGAGCGCATCCATGTTCCTGGCACAGCTAGAGCAGAGTTTATAGCTGCGTTTTGATTTGCTTTATTGCTTTCTTCACCTTCCTTCACCTTAAATAGGATCAAATGCTCTGATAGATACCTTACAGTAGGAATAACGCACGGATTGCGCTGTTAGATTACCAGAAAATATTGTCATTTTTCATAGTAAATACTGATAATTGCGCATTTAAATATTTTATAGACATGACGCGCATCCAGGTTTCATGAGGGGGGGATATTTAACTTTTTTTATTGGTTTTTCTGGGGAAAAGGCGCGTGCCCCTCATGGTGCACTAAAGGTCCGGCACCGGCTTGATTAGATCAGATGCGCACCTTTTCCAAAAAGCTTTTTTTTTTTTTTTTTTACACGCCCTCCAAGGCGCACGTTGATCCCCACTGGTGACAGATCCACGCCACAAAAATCAATGCAGGTGGGACTGCTTTAAACGTTCAGCCATCCCCACTAGAGTTCAGTCAAGTTCTCCTAAAAACAACATGTCCTGCAGGGTTATTGACAACCAGATGATGGGTCTCCCCGATGTGTCTTTGAATGTTTAATGTTCTCTCTGAATAATGCAGGGGAACTATAAAAGGCATGAAGTTGGCTGTTTTACTTAAGCCTGACTGATGGGGAGAGGTGTTCTGGCTCTAAGAAGCCTCTGCAGTCCTGAGGCAGGGAATTAGAGCTTAGAAAAGTTGCATCCAGATTGCTAAAAAAACCTTTGTAAAGCTGAGGTAATGTGCCAGTTCACAGCCAAGAAGTTGTTTATGTGATTACCAGGGGGAATATTCAGCAAAAATTAGAAAACTGGTTCTCATCATCATCACAGGCAGCATGATCTGAACAGCAGTGTTTACATTTGAAAAGAAAAAGGTCAGTGCTCAGGTTTTATTTGTGCTTTTTGGGGGAAGAACAACTTCTGAGCAGCACAGTGAAAGGGAAAGTGGAGAGCTGGTCCGACTGATTCAGACGGCCCAGGTTTGAAGTTGGGAGATGAAAGGGACAGAGGTGGAATCTGTGGCTGATCAAAGTCAACCGGTGGAACATGGGCGGTGCTGCATATTTAAAGGCGCCTGTTCGTGCCTTCCCTGGGAATCCTTAGTGATTTTTTTTCTTTTTTTCCCACCAGTGCACCTCTCTCTCCTCTTTCCGACATCTTTGCCCGCCGTTTCTTGCAGGGTATTCCAAATGAAAGGGGGTTTTAGTCATTGTGTCTGACGGCTCTGGCATTGACGTCACAGGATGGTGGGTTTACCCGATGGCCAGGCGACTATGACTGGTGACCCGAGCTGATTACATTATTTGTGCTCCAGATGGGCCACATCGCTCTGATGTGTCTTGCCTGTAATATAAAGTATTTCTAGTCCTCTGCACAGTGACATCTGGAGCTAACAAGCTCCCGTTTGTTGCTTTTGCTTCTAAAAAACACCCTCTGATCACCTCTTCGGTACATTTCTGGCCTTCCTTGGTGTGCTGGGTCCTGTTGGATGTTCGTAGAAAACATCCCCTCTATTGGTTGTTTGAGGGCATGAATCGACATTTCTTTTATGTGATTAGAAATCATGGTCTTGGAGTTGCTTTGCTCTCTAATTTCAGATCTTTCACCTTATTTAATGCTTAAGGTTTGTGTCTATTTGAGCAAATGTGCTTTCGTCAAGAAAGCATGTAGCTTAAAGTGATGGATTCCTTTCAGAGAATCCTATTTATGCGGCTGTCAGTACTGTTACTGAATAGAAAGCAGCAGATGCTAAGAGACTTTTTGTCCTCTTCGCTGTAAGGATGCAGACAAAAATCAAAAGCAGTAATTAAAGGTTTACATTTGTAGCTATGAGCCACATCAACAAGTATCCCGCATTTTTAGTTGTCTATAACCACATAGACCACACATATGCAGCATCTAGCTCCCTTGAAGTTGTATGTTGGACATTTGAGGGTACAGGTACATTTTATTGTTAAATCATCATCGTGGCATTGCTTCATTTGTTTTCCCTCTCCATATTTACTGTTTGTTGAATCCCATAGTGACCATTCAAACAATTTTCCTCACAGTAAGAATGGCAACTTAATAAATCTCCATCCTTGCCTAATGAGGCAGATTCCCTTCAGAGATGTCTATTTATGGAACAGTGAGGACTTTAATTGGACAGAAAGTGACATAAGGAAAGATTTACGTCCTGCCTTCTGACACGTATGCAAACAAAAGGCAGAAACTGTGACGTGGGTCCGTGGATAAATTACTAATGCAGCGTTCTGGGGTGTATTTAGCTACTTGTGGACGGTAGTCGAGCGCATATGGTTGGATGTGGGTTGAATGTTTGAGGTTTTTTCCATAGTGAGCGGTTTGGAAAAAAGATTGTATACAGTAAAGTCAGGCTGAGGCTTAAAGATGAGTTGAGGACTTTACCAGGGCCAGGAATAACCCTCAAATACCCACCGGGAGGTTATGGGATTTATCGTCGCTTATTAAGTGCACATGTGCACATGTGGTTTGAACGTCTGTGAGCTCAAAGCCAGAGATGGAAGAAAGCAATGAGAAGTATGTTGGCTGTTTGACTGTGGACTTTCTTGTTTTCATTCCTCATGAGAACATATCAAAAGGTTTTCTCTATTTATTGCCTTTTGAGGCTTCGTTTGACCATTGGAGCAAATTTCCTCGCCAGCAGAGTGGCAACTTTCAGTATCTCCTTGCCTAATGAGACGGATTCCCCTCAGAGACATCTATTTATGGTGCAGTTAAAACTGTAATTGCACAGAAGGCAACATAAGGAAAGACATACTTCTTGTCTTTTGATGCATGACGTGAAACTTTAAATTGCTATAAAACCAAGAGCAGCAGCCTCTGTTAAAGTCTGGGCAATATGGAAAAAGATGAGATACAGGCAGTTGTGTCAGTGCGTGGCTATTTCAGTGAAGAGGATTCGAGGACTCAATGGTGACCAGGAATGTAGAACACCCCCCTTTCCTCCCTCAATGAGCTGTGAAGATAAATGCACGTTGATCTTACAGTTTACACCTCACCTAACAATGGGTAATTATCTCTTCCTGCTTTGGTATGTGAACACCAATTACATGGAAATATACTCATAAATCTATTTACAAAGGCCCTGGACAGAGACTCTATGTGTGTGCGCTTGTTGTAGGTAAACTGATGAACAGTGTGCAGTGAATGGCTGAGAAACTGGTGGTGGGAGAACAGCGTTGTGCATATGAAATCACTTAGATTCCTGTCGTTTGGGTGTGAGATGGAGTAAATTGCTGCCAATGTTGAATAATGCAAACTGCCAGCAGCTTTTTTTTTTTTTTTTATCCCCCTCCTCTTAAACTTTGGCTCGGCTCCACAGCTTTTCTAATTATGAAGTGGCTGAGAGATTGCTTCACAACTCCGACACTGTCATGGTGGCAGCCAGCAGTCTAACTGAATCACCAACAAAAGCCTGACAGACACATGGAGTTTAGCGAGCATTTTCCCCACAATCACATCCTCGCGTCTCTCTTTAAATTCGAGGACACACGCATTTAGAGGGGGGCAAAACAAACTGCATTCTGAGAAGGAAAGGTGTTCAGTTCTCCGCACGCTTCTCAGCACAATTTAGCAAGATATATTAGTCAGCCAGGAGGCAGTGGAAAGCCAGCAGTAGACTGCGGTCTGACAGTGGGAGATAGTGATTTACAACAAAGCCCCGTGGACCATGGCACAATTTCAGAGTTGCGGAAATGACACCGGTGAAGCAGGGGCATGAAAGTCTATTCAGCAGCTACGTCTCATTTCTTACATCATATGACCTAGGGAAGGAAGTAGGATAGGGAACGACGAGGCGAATGACAAATCAGCAATGGAAGCTAAAAAAAAATAAACCCCTCACCGTTCAAGGACACAAAAATTCTACCTCTGTTTTAAAAATGGAGACGTAATCGATTTCTCGACCCCACGAGGGCACTGTTAAGACTCCGGATTGCATTTGGAATTAAATCTCCGTGTCCAATGTGAGTTATGGGTGAGGTGGAGAAGGGGGAGTTGGGGTGCCAACAATAATCTAATAGTACAAATCACAGGTTCAGATCACTATCAAAATCTCATCAACCCTTCCCTAGCTCCAGGCTGGGCTTGCTACCAAATTTCATGGAAATTTGTTCATGGGTTTTTACAGACGCCACGCAGACTTACAGATTAAGTGACAGAGGTGAAAATACAACTTCCTGCAGGGGAAAAAAAATGTACATCGGGAATGAAGTGTTCAATCTAATACGTTTGTATTTTATGCACCCAGCTGTAATCCCCAATGAGCTCAACATTTCTCGGAATCTGCCGCTCTATAGCAAAGTAGAGCTAAAAATCCCTCTCGTAGGTTATTTCTGGTATGATGGGTATGTTTCAGTGGTGCTGCCTTCAGGTAGCCAGTTCAGGAGGAAGGGTTTGAGTGAGCATAGCAGACAGATCATGTCCGCCAGTCTTGCCTTCTCCCCTTTACTCTTCCCTAGTTGGATTCCTGTCTGAGCAAAGCCCAGAGGCTTAACTCTGGCTGTAGTAAGTGGACTGAGGAACGCTAAACACTATCTGGGGGAGGCTGCTGAACATGACAGTCGGTTAATAAGAGTATGGAAAAAGAAGAAGTGCAGAAATAAGATGGTAGAGGTGTGATGAGGTAGGAGGGCACCGCTGTCTGAATTTGAGGACGTTTAGGATCTCAAAGTTGGTCAGAAATGGGGATTTATTGTGGGTTAATGTTGATTTCTGGGTGGCAAGAGAGTAATGGGAGATCAGGAAGTTCAGGAAGGGAGACAAAAAGGGATAAAAAGACGGTAGAGTTTAGAAACAGAGAGAGGTATGACAAGAGAAGGCGGTAATGATGCTTGTTTTGCTTCTGCACGGCAGCCGCAGTGAGAGCTGTCAGCTTCAGGTAACTCTGGCTGCTGCGACTCTCTAAGATGCCTTGCGACGTT